AACCTTTCCTTCTCCTACTGTGACATTTAATTCATCATGAAAACTGCTAATTTAATACATTTTTAATTCTATTGTTTTCCCTTAGTCTGCTGTAGAAATGGGAGCTGACGTGTGTTTGTGTTTCCTCCTAACATTATATCAGTTGTTTTCTCCTGAGCTTAATTGACCCTGACTTTACTTTTTGGTTGTTGGTCCAATGTGTCTGTCATCTTACAGCAACTCAGTCAGTTGTACTTTATTCCTGGAGCCTACATTTACATATACTTTTCAGTTTTCACTCTCTGTCTCTTGTTCTCGTGTCTCAAACCTGTAATGTTCTTTACTTTATTTACTTTTAAGCCTAAGAATGGAAATAATAAAAAAAAACAGACAAATTCCTCATATGTGTGGTCATAGTTCGCCAAAGATTCTGACACTTGTTTACTAAAGGCACTGCAACATTAAGTCAAATATCCATCGGCTGGATGAGTTGCCAAGTCAGAGTCATCAAAAAAATGTTGGTCCATCTCCAGTGAATACACTTTCTTTTCATTTAGTTGAATTGTTTTTCTTATAATGTTAAAAATCTCTCTGTTTTAGACAGTGTAATCAGTTTTTGTTCTGTGCAGTAATTAAGTAATAATCCTGTAATGACCCTGTTTGACCTCCTGCTCCATGTAAGTGAACTTACACAATGGGAGCTAATGTCTGGCTTCTTGTTGCGTTCGACCCCTTCCTCCCAGGTTTTTTGATCTGGACATAAATGAGTTAGATATAATGAGAAAAGAGATCCTGGAGCCCAACATGTCTGTTTTTGGTTTTTAAAACATTGATTGGATGAATTCAATTAGAAGCAGCTGATTTCTCCCAGGCCTTTGTATGGCCTGAAAGAGTTAAGTGGATGAGGAGGACTTGGATACCAGCCTGGGTCTGGACCACGTTAACACAATATCGTGCCATGTATCATGTAGATCATTGTTCATGGAAGCACAGTAAGTCAATGTGCCATCTGATCTGCCACTGATGTCAATTAACAGGCCACTGGTGTACAGTCAAGACTAATGAAAACAGGGCTGAGCAGACGCCAGGCCTTCTGCTGCTGTTTGATTAGGAAGCTCTTTGTTAAACCTGTCTGTCTTCAGTCTAATCATGCGTCAAGTGACAGTGTTGTGTTCATGACCGAGTCAAGGTGTGTTCAGGTGTGTTCTTGTGTTATTTGTAGACTATATTAAAACATAAAGTGACGTGGTTTCCTCTGTGCTCAGACCAACATTATTTTTATTAATCAGACCAAGAGATCCACTAAAGAACGTAGATAAAGTCAGAGTCAGACGGTTGACATGTTTGACGTCAGCAATGACGTTCTGTCTGTACATCTTTAAATAATCTTTTGTGTGAAACTGTCTGCTGGGCTGAACGTAACCCTGGTTTCTTCTCATTACTTCTGTGATCCTTATGTTTTCTTTAGACATTCCTTTAATTAGTTTTTGTTGTGTAACATATCTAATGACGACATACTGTGATAATAGTTATGTTTAAAACATACAACAGTTTGTTACAAAGTGGTTAAAGAGCACTGCAGGATGCCTAAGAATGTTGTTTTTCAAGACAGGCTTTTTCTTTTTTGTGTGTGTCAGGTGTTTCCCAGGAGTATACGCATAATGTCTATTGACTTGGGTCGCGAAGGTTTGTGACTTTTAAAATGTGGGTCCCCAGAAAAAAAGTTTGGGAAACACTTCCTTAGAAGAATTTTCAATGTATCCTCTGTCAACCAGCAGGTAGGATAATGAACCAGGACCAGGAGCACAGGACCTGGTCCAGTCAAATGACCTCAGGTTGAGAACCTACTATATGATCTGTGTGGGAATGAGAACCCATCAAACAGACCTACAAAGTTCACTTCTTCTTTTTGCACTATATCATGATCTTCTGAGCTTCTTTTTTAGACTTAGACTTTTATGCAAATAAAAACTTTTATGCAGTTAAAAGTTGAATGTTCAATGTGAGTCAGAAATGCAGATTAACTTTGGAACATCACACCAGCAGCATTTTATCTTACTTTCCCCTTGAATTCGATCACTCCTCTCCAAAGTACAGCAGTAACCAGGACACTGACTCCTCTGGTGAGGAGGACATCGAGGACGCAGGATGTGACCCCAGGAACTGGTGGCCCCTTTATTTCACAGATGACATTTGGTAAATGTTATGATCTTGGAAATACAAGGAGCCATTGTTAGAACAGTTTATCTCTTAGAAAATGGTTCCTGTTACTAAGCAGGGAACATGCATCAACTAAATGACACACTCTCCATGTCCCTCAGCTGTCACCTGTCTCCGGACACTGCTTCGTCTGTCTGCTGGCAGTCCAGGAAGTGCTCTCCCAGCAACTTCTGACCTCTGGAACCCAGTTTTGAATAAACAGTTAATTGGCTGGGTTTCCTGTTTAGCCTGATGGGAATGCATACTATTTCTGTCTGTTTACAGAGTTCAGCCCCTCTCCCTCTTTTACAGAGTCCTACTCCACGTGCATTGTTTATGAAAGAACAATGTCCGTCTCTACAGTTGCCCTTCCAAACATCTTTGGTGATTATACAGTAGTTTTCAGGCCCTGCTACTCCTACCCCCACATTCCTGGAAATCTGCACCTTTGTTGTCTGAGGGAAGCTTTGGTCCGTGTGTGATTTTGTCTTTGTTTGTTTTTGGTGTTTCACCAGCTGTCAGGGTCCCTGAGTTCAGATTCAAACACTAATATTGTGTTGAAATGTCTTCATATAATCATATAAACTGCGGTTGACTTCCATGTCACTCAATGTTCAGCTGCTCAGTTCTCTGATATATAAACACACCTGCATACATTTAAGAGAAAACTGCAATGGAGGCTAAATCATATTTTTACCTGCAAATTTAAAAACACGCATGACTGCAAACATTTTAAGCAACCCACGCCCCAACAAACCAAACACACACAGTCACAGGGCTCAGACTAATTGTTTTTTCCACATAATAAGCTTAGTGGAAAAGGAACTATCTGTATCTAAAGTGCCTGTTTTGAATTAGTCAGTTAGTTTCTTTGCCAGATGCGACTTTCTCCTCTTTCTCTATCTGTATTGAATTATTCAGGCAGTTCCGGATCCTCTGTAGCTTTCATCTGAGGCCTGCATCCAGTTATAAAACAGATATTGTGCCCAACGTCTAGTGGGAGACCTTAAGGTCCAGAAGTCACAGGTTCAGTTGCGGGCTACAACACCAGAGATTTTCCTCTTGTCTCGCCTAATATCTGATTTGTTCCCATACAGACTTTCTAATTTGGGTAGATTGTATTCATAGGTTCCACCAAAGTTGAACCTGTTATTTGTAATAACATCAATTTAACATTTTGGATAAAGCAATTTCCTTCACATATGTTCTGGCACAGAACAACCAACAAGATGAATTCTGAGTTAACACCATCAGGAAAATTTCAGTTTGAGGAGTACAGAGAAGATGTCCATCCTGATGTTGCTGGTGTTGGTGTAGTCACTGTGGTGGTGATGTAACTCGGACCATTTTGTGCTAATGTTCACATTTTAAAATCTGGTCATTAACTAAGTTGGAAGGAGCTAAAGCTAAGGGCGGTGTTTTTATTGATGTGGCAGGAAATGGGGGAGGAAGGGGAGGGTTGAGGAGTTGGGGTATGATGGGAAGGAGTGGGGGCTGCCAACTGGTTCTGCTGCTGCTGAGTCGGTAAATCTCTCGGTGTGTTCAGTTCACAGTCAGCTTCCATTTTTTTTAAAAGGATATCCACACACACACACACACACACACACCACTCCAGTCTCCCGTTTTGGAACACGACGTTGCAAACAGCCCATTAAGCGACATGTGGTTGGGGTGAAGATGACGAGAAACTGAAGGGTGTGTTAATGATGACGGGCTGTTCCCAACACAGAGAACACCCCCTGTTCTGCACCCTCAGCTTCTGCTGAGCACAGGCCAGGAATCAATGCTAATAAAAAAGAAAAGTAACTGAAACAACTAACATACAAAAACAACAGGTGTCCAGGTCCAGGTTTGGATTTGACACTTGTTAAATTAAATACCACTGTCTTCTGCAGAGGGAGCCTGACCACCAGCAGGCAGGGATCTGGTTAGTGGTTTAATTATAACTTAGGTATTTCTTTTTTATCCTTGTGTCCAAATTAGTGCATTTTAGGAACTTCATGAAACACCAAACATCCAGGAACATGGACTATATAAACAGAATACCTCGGAGTACTTTTTGTATTAGATCCACAGAATTTGCTTTGTAATTAAAAGAGTTATTGTAGAGGCACCATGTCTTCTCTCAGAGGGTTTACCGAAGCATCTTTGTCCATGATGGCTTTTAATTTTGATATTTTGGGATGAAATAGGAGGTTGTTTCATTTACAGTACCTGATATATTGTCATAACTTGCTTTTACTTTTAATGTCAGCTCAGACTTTCAGCCCGAACACAGGTGTACATCATTAACTCAAATAAGCTGAAGTGACAGTGATCAGCTCTGCTATAGAGCTAGGTGACCGGTGGAGGTAACCTTGCTGACTGACTATTACTGTACTGAGTAACTGACAGCAGACTATCCATTTCTCATGACCCCTCTGTCAAACAAAACTACCCAACATCCAGAGACTCCCAAATGTCTCTGGTCTCACTACTGATAAGACTGCTTCCAGCTAAGTGATTCTCCCGTAGGAAAGAGCCAATTAACATGGTCTGCGCCGCCGTTGGTTTGATGTTGAAGTTTGTCCTTTTGATGTGAAAATTTATGCAGAACGATGATCAAGATTAGAACTTCCCTCCTAATCTTGATGTTCTACGTTGTCTTTAGCATTAATTGGAAACATCTTTGGCTAATCTTCCTGCTCAGGCTAATCTCAGACTGCACAGCCCAGTGGACATGTCTGCTGCCTATGAGTTTGGTTGAAATTTAATGTAAAACAAATGTCTGTTGTTTTGTGTCTCCTTTTTCTAACTGTACGTTTTCTCGATTTCTTTTATAGGATACTGAGCCACAACAAGATTCGAACTTTGAAAAACGGATCCTTCTTTGGACTTTCCGCTGTAGAAAAGCTGTAAGTACATTTTTTTACTTTTTCAACAAACTTTATTTTGGGAGATTTTGTTTATCTACATTCTTGCTGATGCTTGTCTGTGGGTAGCTGGTGTTTTTGCATGTCACTGGGCCTGTTGTAGAGAAACAGAGAGAGTGTATCAGTAGGATCTAAGAAGCTCTACAGTCCACTGGTCGGCTTCTGTCCAACAGGGAAGATGATCCACTCACAATGACTATCACAGAGTTATGTTTAGAAGTTCACATAATTACACTCTGGTGCTTCATTATCAAGTAAGGCCCACTCCACAGGAACAGCGGGAAGAGATAAGGGCAATGTGAGGGAGGAGGTGATGTTGGCAGTCTGTTCCTCCTCAGTAGCTGTGAATGAGGTGTGAGACAGGAGATAGACAGGAGTAAGACAGGAGCTCCTTCTCTTTCTTCAACTTGGTTTCAGGGCAGCAGAAAGAAACCCGTGCGTCGTGTTTCTCTCTGGAACTCTATCATATATATTTCCGAATATGGTCAAACGTTGGGGTGTTGGAATATTAACACCATTATTTCGGCAACTTCCACTTTCATTGCTGAAGATTTCAGTTGGTTATAATATGGAGGATACACTTGGGTTTTTGTTGACAGTCCTTCAGTTGCTTTTCATCAGTGAACACTGAATTGAAGAATTCATGAACCACTAAGTGCTGTGATAAATCTCTTTGAAGCAGATGTCGTTAGAACAAGACATAAAACCACCAAATAATCCACATCAAATGATTAGTTTAGAGCATATGCCCCCAAGAGATGTTCATTTGACCTGTTCCATATGATGACCAAATCTGGTAAACATGGGGTAAACACTGCTCTGGGGCAAACCTTGGTGACGTGGTCAACACAGCACTTTCTGCCATGTCAATAGCCAACCATGGTAGAGCTTATGAACATTAACCTTAATCCAAAAATGCACTAAATTGTCAACGTATCCTGACGTCAGTATATGTCACTATTGTAGTGGTTCCCATAGTGGGGGGCACAGATCTTGTATTTTCTTTGGTGAATGAGTACTAGTTTTGTAGGAAGTACAGTGTATTAAGTAAAGATTAATCAATGAAACGTTATAGCATATAGTTGTGGATGTGTTTATGGCTTGACAACAGTCCTACGTAGAAAACGGGTGTACTGCAGAAAATATTTGAAAAGCACTGGACTACTGTAATGACAGTAATTTAATGAACATGTGCGTTTCAGCTGTGATTCAACCAGAGACTTGGTTGAGACTTGGCCCACTAACTTTGAAACATGAAAATCATTTTGCCCCTAGGGGTCTCTATGACTACCATTATATCATTCTATGGCTTTGTGTTTCAGCTGACTCTTATCCTTTTAATATGAAGAAACATCAATAATTAACACCAAAATGGTGAACAATTAGATATTTTACAAATATCCAATTTCAAATGCATTGTAAAAGCGTGGTGTGAAGTCATTTGGATATTTTTTTTTTTTCGAGAAAAAGGTGGTGAGTTTTTACACATGGCCTTCAGTTTCCTGGCTTTCTTCTTTTATATGAGAACTACATCTACATTCCTGTATCCCAGAAACAATTTTCACAGCAACGTGTGGTGTTTTTCTTTAGTGAGAAACCTAGTAAAGCTTTATAACATCCTGGTAGCTTAGAGCACACATGGAGGAGTTCCACAGAGGCACTTACGTCTGCTATACATGCATACGTATATACATGCACTCAGAAGGAGGGATGAGTTTGTTGAGGGGATATTGGTTCCACATGCCACTCAAAGAGCAACCGCCCATGAAGCTAAATGAATTCTTGAGAAGAAATAGAGGTTGAGAGAAAGATCTGGCAATTGCAGCAGTGGTTACCTTATTAGTAACTACCTGCTGGGTCTGAAGGCAGACAGACCAATCAATTACTGAAGCAATTTTTCTTATAGAGGTATTTTTATGCATAACATGTGAAGGTCATGGTTGAACAATTTTGAGCTTAACTGCACTTGTTCTCTCCTTAGTAGGTTAATACCACAACTGACAGGAAAATAACAGACTGATATTTAAGGTTATTAAAAACATAATGAACTCAGGAGAAGTCTGTAGCTTCAATGTTTTCAGTGTAAAATGAACAGTTGTTTGTTTTTCTAAATGCATACAAGGTTCCCTGTAGAGCTGTGGGGTCACTGTGTCAGGTAACCTGAGTTTCTACCAACTGGCCCTTGCACCTGAAGCAGTGATATAACTGGTAGGGGGCAGCAGGGAGGGGTTTTGCTAGAGGTGCATAACCCAAGAATCTGGGAACAGAAAGATAATGGACAACAGACTGAGAAGTAGTACTTTGGACATTTGGACACAGTGGACTTTTAATATTAGATCCTCATTAGGGGCACTATTAATAAAGAAAATACTTTATTAATACATATTTTCTTGACAGACCAACAATGATCAGTGTTAATGCAGCTAGCTGAGGCTGATGTCCGCAGCGGATGGTCAGGTTATGGACAATGAGAACCATATAAGAAGTGTAGATAACTGCATCCTTTATTTTTTTACAGTTCAGTTTCTATCTTTTCAGTTTTAAAACCACAGAACCAGCCGTGTGTGTATAACACTTATCTATTTCTAGAGCACCACAGTGGTGTGGTCAGCAGAGGGATTTAGCTCAGAATTTTAGGCAAAATGGTCTCTGGATCTAGCCAAACACACAAACACACAACCAACAACACACACACACTCCATCACTCCGGGAGATTTGAGTGTAAGGGAGAGGACATAACACTAAATCATCCAGGCTACATTTTCCTCCACTGCCTGGACCTCTGGCTGCTGGCTCGTTGACACACAGCGGTGGAGGTCCACTCACTCACACTGACGTCTTCAACCTTTAATTGAGCCCTGCACGGCTTATAATTACATCTGAGCTCATGGGAAAGCTGATGCCTGAAGTGCTAAATTGATACATTGAATTTCATTGTTGCTGTGATGGAAGGTCCTGAGGAAATTAATTCAGGTGTGAGATTTATCGGCGGTTGTAATGTTAGGTTGAAATCCCTCACGTCTTTCAGTGCCGAATCACATTTGATGGACTTTTCTCAGCCTTTCCATTGTGTTTCCTACATGTGCATGTCATTTGGAGCAGTAGTGAACCGTTCCTTAGATTATGTGGTCAGTGCTGCTATCAAAGGCCAGCACTGTAGGGCTGAGTAAACACACATCAGGGAATAACACTGCATCTCTTCCTCTTCCAGACACACATAAACAGTCTTCCTCCCGGTCTACACACACACACACACACACACACACACACACACACACACACACACACACACACACAGACACACAGAATTGCTTGACTCTTTTTTATTAATGAAATCCTTTTAACTACTCAACTTTATTATATATATATATTATTGGGCTTGAATAATCTCAACCTTATTTAATGTAACCTCAACCCCGATGTGACCAACTAAAGAGTAAACAATTTATTTTCATCAAAAGTCATAACATATCATTATATATTAACACATCAGTGACAAGGCCTTATGGGTTTCAAGTACAGAGCAGTATTAATCTTGAATTTGAACGCTTTCCTAGGGTAGTTAAAGCATCACTGTCATTTGTCCGATCCTCAGAAGTTGGCAACATGATTATCTCTTATTTTTCTTAATGGATGCTTGGAAACATTTGGTATTTAGCTTGTAAGTGCTAGAAGGGCTGAATACCTGAACAGGGAGTCATTATTAGTCTGTCCTTCAGTGGTTGGTTTAGCTTCTCTGAGCCAGCCAGAGTTGAAATAGAGAATGTTTGTGTATTGTTTGTGCAAAGAGTGCTGTTTACTCTGTCTACCACAGCAGCTGTTGCACCACAGCCATGTAGTTTGAAGCAGCGTTCACAAAAACTTGATATCAAATTGTAGGTCATATAAAATAATAACAGCCCTCATGCACGGCTCATGTGAGACCCCTTAGGTGAACTCAGGCTTAACCAATAGTTTATATTTAGGTTATAAATTTAGTATAAAGTCAATGTTTATTCTAGAAAATGTACTGTAACTCACCAGGACCTGTGTCCCAGTATGGAAACCTTGAGTCCTGGTCTAGCCAGTATCCAATGTCAAACGAGATGCATATTCACATCCATTATCAGACACAGTCATCTATTTAGATATAACTGCAGACTGATCTGCTGTGTTAGTAGGAGAACACAGCTCCGAGGCAAGGCTGCCCTCCTCCAGCCCTGGGCCAGACAGTGCAGCAATCTACACAGTTGGCCCTTTCATTGGGATAAACCTTCTCAAAGCCACTACTGCCTTCATAACCAGCCAAACCACCCAAGTGCAGAGGAGCAATTTAGCCTTGTTTGTTTTTGCCTTTTTACTGGACTACTATGTTTTTGTAGCTTTTCAAACGGCCCTGCCATCCAAGAGCTACATTTGGAACTTGGAATACCCTGTTTCTTTCCAGTTCCGATGAAACACCAGTTGACTCATACAACTCTTTTTCTAAGATGGTGTTCTTTCTCTATGCAAATTGACGGCGCATTGTGCCAACATTGTTAAGTCCGACGAAACCAAACCCTGAAGCATTTACACCCCTGCACAGTCCATTTAGGTTGAAGACAGTCTGAGGGCTCTGCTGTGATCCGAGAAAGCTGAAGTCTGGTCATCTGAAAAGATGTGGTGTGAACTCCATCTATGATGTAGGATTTAAGAATTTATTGATATTTCTGTTATCCAATAGGATGACAGCACATGCACATTGCTTTTGATGATTTCGAATATTGGATTTTTTTCCCAATATTAAGGTAAAGTCATAGATCGAATTCTCTTATTTCATCCTAGTGCGAAGAATCTTCTGACCAAAGATTTTTAAGCTTTACTGTAGCTTGGTTTGTCTAAAGTCTGATGTTAAATCATAAAACGGGATTAGCTTAATATCTCTGCAGTTCCCCTACACCTATGATCTTATCGTTACAGTCACACAGGTTTGCAGGGATTTGCTTTTCCTCAGTCACTTTTCT